TAGGGTGTGTTTATTTGTACAATTCAAGTCATGATTTGAGTAATATATGTGAGAGAAAAATATTGTAACAAAACAGTTAAATTTTAATTTATTTGAGAAAAAATACTGTAGTAATATGACTTTAATCATGAAATGAACAAGGTCTTAAGAAATGAGAGTTGAGAAATTGTAAATTTATAGTATGATTTGAATTGGGATGTTAAATATTTCATAAAATGTATTTTTTTTATCATCAATTTAACACAACCATAGAAAATTAAGCACATTATAACAGTTTAACAAGTTGGGAAGTCAAAAATTAAAAATTTTAGCGAGCAACTCCGCAAAACCCTACAAATTTAGGGTCAACATTACAGATAATTTTCAAAAATAATAAAAAAAATCAACAACACAGATAAACAAGAACATACCACATCAAAAACACAAATAATGCTGCGTAAAAAAAAAAAAAAAAAAACAAATAATGTCACTCTCTCTCCCTCCCGCCTTCCTGCTCTTTGTTCTTCCTTTCTAGACTTTTCTTCTTCTCTGAAGCATTATACAATACACTGACTTTAAACATAAATAAATGAGATAAATTACGACTCATATTGTTAATGAAAGAAATTTATTACAACAATTTCCTTGCATGCAAAATCTTTAATCACAAAAGAATTCATAATTGATGTGTTGATTATACATGCAGTCCTCCGCTGACACGACCAAATCCACAGGCAGCACCTGGAATTTTTAGCAGATCTGGTCATAAACGAACACATACACAGAAGAAAAAGGAGAGAGATCAGAGAGAAAAAGAAATGAGAAATAGGAGAGAGAGAGTGAAGGGAGAAGCGGACTGCCATGGAGGAGAGCGTCATCGGCGGTGGCGGCCATGGATGGAGCAAAGAGGGAAGAAAAGAAGAAGAAGAGAGAGAAATGGACATAATGGTTTTTTTTTTTTTTTTTTTTTTTTTTTTTTTTTTGTATAGATGGTTGAGGTTAAAATATTTAAAAATCAATAATTGAGATTAGTCTAGGTTTTATTAATATTTTATTCAATAACTAGGGCATATAAAATACTTATTTTGTCCTTTTAGAATCCCTCACATAAATACAGTCCTTACCAAATGCGTCTATTTGCAATATTTTAACAAGTTTCAGGAGTTCGTTGTTAAAATTATAAATTTAAGGGATAATTTACTAAATCAAGATAAGTTAGGCAGTAAATGTGCTAAAAACTTTTAAAATATCCTAACCTTTCTTTGCCAAAGGAATAAAATTATTTTGATATTCTGGGTTATAGTAAATATATTTTTGGTACTATGTGTTTTTATTAATAATAAAACAGCAAATAAAACATTTTTTCGACACTCTAAGACCAATTTTGAACTTTAAGACTAATTTTGAGACACAAATGGTGCGTTTGGAACTCGTTTCAAAATGATTTTATTTTTTATATGAAAATATAAATGAAAACGTTTACAATCTCATACATAAATCATTTTTAAAAATGCGTTTGGTAATTTTATCAAGATATTATTTTCAGTATAAAAAAACCTATTAATGTCTCTCTCTGTGCTCGAGAGATGAGAAAACGAAAATAAAAAATGAAAAACGACTAAAAGTCATTTTTCATTTCTCTCCCATTTTACACTAAACCAAAAAATCGTTTTCATTTCCGTTTTTTATTTTTAATTATACCAAACGCCGTTTTAGAATCGTTTTCATTTTTCTTTCTCAAAAAACGTGAAAAACAAAAACAAGAACAATTCTAAACACGGTAAAAATATCCTTTCTACTTTTCTATTTAATTTACCCTAAATTAGTTTAAAAAACATAATAAAAATATTTAAAAAAACATTAAAAAATAAAAAAGGAAGAACAACGTCTTCTGCTTGTTAAGGTTCCGTTAATTTTACTGATTTGAGCTTAGAATTTGAGTTTTGATATAGTGAAAAACTCTCAAAAATAGTCACATCTAACTTTTTTACTACAGTAAAAAGCTCTTACATAAAGTCACATTTCAACTCGAATTAAAAACTCGAATCAACGAACTAAATGGGTTTTAAAAAAACCCAAAATCCCATATCAAAAGTTATTTTTCTCAACTAAAAACAAAGATCAATCAATAAACTAGTAAGCTTCCCTCTTTCTATCACTTGAAACATTTATCAATCTGTATTTTTTTATTTTCATTTTTATGAATCATTCTATATTGATAAAATTCAAATTTGAAAATACAAAATCATATTTTCATCATTTTTTTAACAACACTATATAAATCTGAACCACAATGGAGACAAGCATCAAATGTATAGAAAAAAACCACTGAAAAAAAACCGTCAGATTTTCCAAGTAAAAAAGGAAGAAAAAAAAAAAAAAACAAATCTATGAGCTATTTTATGCTTCACTCATGGTCTCAAACCCACAGTTCAAACAAACATTTTAGATATGGAAAATTTTAGATCATCCCACTGCCCCTACCTTGCATAGAGAGAGAAAGAGAGAGAGATGAAAGAATGGGGCTGCGACGAGGCCGGGACGGAGCTTGGAGGCCGGGGTAGGTTGAGGATGTTCGCTAAAAAGATTGATTTTCCCCAAAGCTCTGGCTTTTTTTTAGGTGACGTTTGGTAAGGGGATTCATACCCTGATTTGAATCATGATTCATGGTTCACTATAGTGTTTTCTCTCACAAAAAATACACGTAAATAAAAAATAGTTCTAATCTCATGATTCTAATATATGAACCAAACGTCTCCTTAATCTTTTTTTTGTATCATTTAAATGTTGGGTGCATGAGGGTGTGGCTTGGGTTGTTGTCGGAGCTCGCTGGAGACTCACACCGATGGGTCTCAATCCTGGTGATGGCTTTGACAATGTAGTGGGGGCGGCCAAATACGAGATCGAGGGTGGGTTGGGGGATTTCCTTACATCTGAGATATTTTTTTCTTTCTGAAATGAAATAATTTTTTTTTCTTTTCAAACTGTACAGACATGACTATCCATCAAATTGTAATCGCAGCAATATGCATGATCTTAAACCAAGTAAAATCCATTAGCAGAAAACAAAGAGAGAGAGAGAGAGAGACTGCATCTAATTCTTTGAGAATGGGAAGAAAAAGAGTTAAAAAAAGGTAAGAAATATTCTGAAAAAATATTTTAAAGTAATTAATTACTAGTTAAGTAATGAGAGGGTAGAAAGGATATAAAAAGATGGGTCTTAAAACTAGTCTTGAGATATATGCTTAGTTTGGTATTGGTGTAGATTTTAGAAAAATTATTTTTAGTTGGTAAACTATAATTATAATAATTGTACTGGTTTTAAAATCAATATAATAACGGTTGATAAATTATGAGGTTAAATTATTGTAGATAGTTAAAATTACAACTATGGTCTCGTTCATTTCACCGATTCGAGTTTAGAATTCGAGTTTTGCTACAGTAAGCTCTTAGAAACAATCGTATCTAATTTTTTTTACTATAATAAAAAGCTCTCACATAAAGTCACATCTCAACTCAAATTAAAAACTCAAATCAACAAACAAAACGAGTAATATGTTTTATTATACTAGAATATAATATATAATTACAATATAATATATAATTATTATTATATTTATATAATAAAAAAATTATTATTTTATAATATATTATATAATTATGATATAAAATATAATAATATTATTAAAATAATTAATATAGTTATAATATTATAAAAATATTATAATATTATATAAAAAATAATAATATTTCAGTTATAATATAATTAAAACTTAGAACTATATTATATTATACTATTCTATAATATATATAATTATTATATTATAAATAATAAAAATATTATAATTAATACATTATGTAGTCGTGTGTAATACATCATAATAG